AGGGGAGGGGAGGGGAGGGGAGGGGAGGGGAGGGGAGGGGAGGGGAGGGGAGGGGAGGGGAGGGGAGGGGAGGGGAGGGGAGGGGAGGGGAGGGGAGGGGAGGGGAGGGGAGGGGAGGGGAGGGGAGGGGAGGGGAGGGGAGGGGAGGGGAGGGGAGGGGAGGGGAGGGGAGGGGAGGGGAGGGGAGGGGAGGGGAGGGGAGGGGAGGGGAGGGGAGGGGAGGGGAGGGGAGGGGAGGGGAGGGGAGGGGAGGGGAGGGGAGGGGAGGGGAGGGGAGGGGAGGGGAGGGGAGGGGAGGGGAGGGGAGGGGAGGGGAGGGGAGGGGAGGGGAGGGGAGGGGAGGGGAGGGGAGGGGAGGGGAGGGGAGGGGAGGGGAGGGGAGGGGAGGGGAGGGGAGGGGAGGGGAGGGGAGGGGAGGGGAGGGGAGGGGAGGGGAGGGGAGGGGAGGGGAGGGGAGGGGAGGGGAGGGGAGGGGAGGGGAGGGGAGGGGAGGGGAGGGGAGGGGAGGGGAGGGGAGGGGAGGGGAGGGGAGGGGAGGGGAGGGGAGGGGAGGGGAGGGGAGGGGAGGGGAGGGGAGGGGAGGGGAGGGGAGGGGAGGGGAGGGGAGGGGAGGGGAGGGGAGGGGAGGGGAGGGGAGGGGAGGGGAGGGGAGGGGAGGGGAGGGGAGGGGAGGGGAGGGGAGGGGAGGGGAGGGGAGGGGAGGGGAGGGGAGGGGAGGGGAGGGGAGGGGAGGGGAGGGGAGGGGAGGGGAGGGGAGGGGAGGGGAGGGGAGGGGAGGGGAGGGGAGGGGAGGGGAGGGGAGGGGAGGGGAGGGGAGGGGAGGGGAGGGGAGGGGAGGGGAGGGGAGGGGAGGGGAGGGGAGGGGAGGGGAGGGGAGGGGAGGGGAGGGGAGGGGAGGGGAGGGGAGGGGAGGGGAGGGGAGGGGAGGGGAGGGGAGGGGAGGGGAGGGGAGGGGAGGGGAGGGGAGGGGAGGGGAGGGGAGGGGAGGGGAGGGGAGGGGAGGGGAGGGGAGGGGAGGGGAGGGGAGGGGAGACTTGAAAATTTGAAAAATAAATTAATCAGATGTTTTCATAGCTCCTATATTCAGAGTTCAGATTCAGTAGTACTTTCTTCTGCAATCTTTGGCAAGCCATTCCCTGTATAGAAATCTGCCCTCTTTAAAGGCAGATGCTTTCTGTGTTTAGGCTACTACATATCCAACATAGGACTACAGTAGATGAACCACACTATGATAACTTAATTCATATTAAGTAATAGTTTACTTAAAATGAATCAGAGGGATTTCTGTATCATACTCAATTTTTAATATGCAAGTTTATTCAGTGTTAGTAAGTATGGTTCAAAATAACAACACACATTACTACAGCTGCCATGTTTCTGGATAAAATAAACTGCAACCAACAAACTTTACTTAACTGAACTTGTATATAAAATAGAATGAAACTTAATGCATCCAAAGCACTAGAAGTTGGACTCATGTGAACTGCAAGATCTAAGGCTTTGCAAAAATGTTAGTATGTTAGCTTTTAACAAATATATGCTTCAGCATTGTACTGAAAACAGTTTTCCTTTAAACAAAAACTTCCACATCAATCCACATGATTACTTTATGCTTTTTCTGTTTTCTTTATCTTGTCATGTGGGGTTTTTTGTGTTGTTTAATTATTTTTTGTTACCACTTGAAGTGTGTTTCAGACACCAGATGAGCAGTTTCATTAAATTCTGTTCCAGAATCACCACAGTTCTTTTCTTTTTTCCCTCTTTCACAGAGAAAAATGCAATGTTATTACCTCAGGAGAAGGTAGTTGTGTCACCACTGTATCACCAATTGTTGAAGTAAGAAGTTTGTCACCTAGAATATTTCTTAAATAGTCTGCCATTACTTCCTGTTGCTTAGGGCTGCAGTGGTTCTCCAAAGAGAGTACAACCGGATAGTCAGAAGCCTAGAAATATAATTTAAAGGCTTTTATTATTTATAAATAAAAATATCCAAAATATCTTACAATAGTCCCCTTTGTAATCTGTATTTTCCTTTATTTGCAAAACTTTCAGAATATATGTTGGTTGTTTAAGGTTAGTAACACCATAAAAAAGTACACAATATTTATGTAAAAGAGAAAGCACAATTGAAAAAGAGCAAAAAATACATCCTCAGGAAGTTAAGGGGGGTTAAAACAGGGCTAGACATATACAGAGATGAAAACAAACTACTAGGGTGATCAAATGAAGGTCAGATAAGGTCAAAATACTTCATTAGAGAAACCAGGTAATATCTATGCTGATCTGTGGAAAGCACATATTAAAGTGTATTTCTCCGATAATCCATAGAAAATAATTTTTCAGAGGCATTTAACATACTGAATACTGTTGGATGTAAAGAAAGTAGAGAAAAAATGTTAAATCAGCCAAAAATCAGGCTGATTGAATTGCACAAGGCAGACACAACCTGAAAGCAAAACATAGAATTTCTCACAGTTAATGGCTCAGCTGATACACAGAACTTCTAAAGAATGATACATTGGCTACTGTGTGTTTGAAACAGCATTCTCAACAAATGAATTTACAACGAATAAAGAGAAATTATAATTTCTTCTCCCAAAGAAAGAGTATGGGGTAAAACCTCCCAGACACACTAAAACACAAAAAATTAAGACTTAATCTCTTTTCCATTTCCTCTCTTTCTATTTTAAATTGAAAGCTTGATAAAAGTTACCATCTACTGCTGCCTTTTTGTCAGATGACTCATTAGGGCAATGTCCCTTCTGCCTATCTCATTTAATTTCAAGGAGAAAGCTTCAGAAATTCAAAGGAAACTTAATTTCAGAAAAGACTTAAAACACTACAAATGCTAGAAACATCAATGTTGACCATCTTGGTGTTTTTCAAAATCAAAGATTTCTTCATCTCTTCAGACCTAATATCTGCTCTTTCTTTTGCACCTAACGGTTGTATCTCAACTGCTCTGAAATTCTGTTGACTAAGTCATCCCAACAGGGAATTATCATGCTGAGTACATTAATTTTTTTAGGAATAACGACTAAGTTTCATGAAAATTAATTTCAATAAAGGGAAATAAGGGAAAAGAAAAAGAGAAAACAAAATTATTGCAATTTTCATGTACCTATAGGAAGAACTTGGAAGCTTTGACATAATTGTGTACCTTTAAATTTACATGTGACATATTTTAGTGATAGCTCCTTTAGTGGCAGGCATCTATCCTTAAGAACAATGAAAAAACTATGATAAGAAAACTGGCTTTCATCTAAATATAAATTTTAGCCACTAGTTTACTGTCAGAGACATGATTTACATTCTTTCTCTGTTTTGTGGGGGAAAGCACTTTTTTTGTGTACAGAATTTCCTCCATTGTTTACACAGTTTTATTAAGAGAAGGGAGAATTGTTTTGGTTTTGAAAGGTAAAATCAGATTCTAAAATTATTCTAAAATTACAATTGACAAAGTAAGACAGGATTAAATGTCTTTTGCTTTATTTTATGACAGATTTTAATTGGCTACATTTAAATTTGACAGTATCTTTAAAATTTGCTCAGAAATCATTGTCTTCACATGAACAAGCCTTGCATTTTTTTTATATCACGAACTTTTCTTTGGACTCTTTACACCTTATTCATCACAGTACTTGGACAAGACATGTGAACCATCGGAAATCAAGTAAAAATTAGAGAATAGCTTAAATGGCGCATGTCCATTTAGAACGTGTAAAAAAACTCATAAGCTGACAGTGGTTACTATAAACAAATACTGTCAATAAAATCTTTGCTTGGACAGGACTTAAACTGTCAGTTTCTAGGGGAAGTTCCATTTTATGTTTACCCTATTTTTACACTTTTCTCCTGAGCATTTGCCACGAACAGAAACATACCTTAGTCTGGATAGACAACTGGTATGAACAATTACCTATTGTGATTTTATTATCTTATTGTAAATTGTGCCTGTTAAATGAAGTTTTTATTATAGCTATGCACAATATGCTATGTATTAGCAAAAACTAGAGAGTTATACCTATGGGTTGTGAAGAAAAGTGAAATAAACCCATAGCTTTGTTTTCATTATCCTTTAAAATCCGACCAATTTTATATAAAAATCACAACAGAATAAATGTAGCTTTCTTAACTCTGAGAAGGCTATAAGTATATTTATGTAAAAATCCCTATAATTGTATGATCATAGGCATATATATTCACACACATAATGCTGGCCTGAAGACAAGAGTTATATTAATAGTCATTCAGGACTTCATCTTTCAGGAGCTTTGCCAGAAACCTATACAAAAGACTGAAACAGTGCCAAAAGCTCTTCAGCTTTCACTGCTTTGCCAGAGATAGGCAGAAGAGACATTACCCTAATGAGTCATCTGACAAAAAGGCAGCGGTAGATGGTAACATTTATCAGGCCTTGAATTCAAAAAGACAAAAAATGGAAAACAGAGTAAGTCTCCAACTCAGCTATAATCTAACATTTTTCTGTATTTCATACATTTAAGCATAGGATATAAGACAGACTGATAGCAACAGAAGAATAAGTGAAAAAAAATATTAAAAGATGTAAAGGAGTAAAATATCAAACTGATTCTGAAGTAGTTGTTCACTTTATATTCAGCTCTTCCTTAAATGACCTCAGGTGAGAATTCCACCTAGCAGGCTGAGTTAAGATCTGAATGCCTCCCACCATTTTGGTATATAATCATTATCTACAAAATATGTTTACTGTTCCTTAAATAAAATTTTTAAAATATATTAAGAACAGATTTGTTTCAACAATGCCCACTGCCACAAGCACCATCTCTCTCACCCTAGAGAATGAATCTCTGACAACAATCATGTCCCTGGGCTTTGTTAAAGCCACTGTCACATTTTAACCAACATATATTTTATATATATATTTATATATATATATATATATATATGTACATACCACAAATGCATACTTGTCTATCACTTGAATTACAGAATTAAATGGAATTTTGCTCGTTAAAGTGTGTCCGTGATACACAACAGGTTCATTGTTTGAGCCATCCCAGCAGTCAATTTCCAAGCAACGACACCCTTTTAAGAGAGCGCTTCAAAAGAAAAACAATTTTACAGTCAAAATAAAGATACCACACTTTCTTATATAAGTCACTGTGTTTCTGATTACAAGAACATTTAATAATTACAACCCCCCCTACTTTTTCATCACAGAAGAAAATAAATCTTATAGAATTATACAGATATGAGACAGAGCTATATTTTCTGTCGTTTATCTTAGGCATGTTAGGTAATAAACTTTATTAGAGCATTTAGGAGTAAAATGTATTACCTGAATAACCTTCATTAAAAGACTAAAAATGAGGGTCAAAGATTTAAATAAAAGAATTTTGGAAAGATGGCAAATTGTTGTTTAAAATAGAAGAAGAAATGTTTGAAATGCCTTTTTTATTACTATTCCAGGGTTTGTATGCAACTTTGAGAACCATTATACTTAAAAATAACATCATCACCCTTACAGAATTGGTTTGTGCTTAGTCTTTACATAATTCAGTTGTTCTCCCCCTACTTTATTTCTAAGAAGAAGTGCTAAAATTTCTTGGATGCCTTAAAGTTACTCTGTTTTAAATTTTTAACATGTTAATGGCACCCCTTAAAGGTCTTAGGTTTCTAATATTTGACTTGTTACTAATTTAAACATTTCTTGTAGACTATTTTACCTAATTACCAATCTGTCTTCTACACACTGCCCTTTACACACTAACAATGACTCTAAGGTGTTTCTAGCTTATTTTATAATTTTATATTTTCCTTACACAAATAGTAGATGAAGAACAGAGGGGCGTTTATACCCTCTATACAGTTACTTTAAGCAATGTAGTATTAATGTCATAATATTTTAAATACTGTTAGAAATAAATTCACTAGTGGTTCTGGTAGTTGCAAGCTATTTTAGAATATCCAGAGAACAACCAAAACAAAAAAAAGTTCAGATAAATGATGCTTTCAACTGCTTTCACTTAACTAAAGTAGTACAAAGTAATAGGAATGCTGGACATCTGTCTTCCAAATTCTTCATATTTTCTGTCCCTCTCTGTATTGCCTTTATTACATAATTCATTTGCTCCTTCCCTGATCATTTCTTCTAAATGTGTCTTGGCAATAAGGCATTCTGGTTTCCTTCTCCTCTTGGAGTCATATGCTATGCATTCAAAGACAAAGTTTCTTCTCCCTCCTGGCTACTACAATGCCCACATTTTGCTGTTGTTGTTTCTAAACTGACCACACTGCAACATACACCAATCACAGATATCCTTGACATACTCCACCATACCGTGCCCTTATGTGCTGTATATTGATCAGATTAGAGTTTGCTGAGGAATTTAACATTTATTTCAGGGAGTTATTTATTTTTGCATGGCATGTTGTGATTAATAACTGATTTAATCATATACTATGCAGCATACTATAGATTTAATTTGCTGCAAGGTAGATTTTTGAGATGTAAGTGAAAAAATAGATTGTTTCCAGACTGTGAACAGATGGTTTGGCAAATATATTGAAAAGTGTACACACAGAATGAAATACAACTCTTACATTTTCTACTTGTATCTGTGCTGGTTTTGTTCCTTATTGCTAAGCAGGATTATACGTGACTTAGTATTCATTAAAAAAAGAAAAAAGACAATATTTTAAAATGGTATCTAAATACCTGGTATATCCCCACAAATGACTGGGCCCTACTAGTTGGTCAGATATCAAGTAGGTGTTGTGAGAAGATGAAATAAAATAGTCGCATAATGGGTGGTTCATATCTTGGTAGACAGTCTTGTGTTCGTTTCTAAATATCGAACAGTCCGATGAGCTCATGTACCTTATAAATCCTTCAAATGACATCTGCCTTCTTTTCCTCACTGAACAAAAAAGAAAGCAAAAAATTTCTGGTATGAAGCTATAATTTATATATGTGAAGATTTAACTGATATTTATATCTGTGTACTTTCCATAATTTTTAATAGCCAGTTCTGAACATTGTAAACGTTATACAGCATAACATTTTCCTGCAATTTAAAAATTCATAACAATATAAACAGAAAAATCAGATGTGTACAATTCTGAAGCTGAATTGCTGGGGTTCAAAATATGAGATGAAATAAATGTGTTCTGCCATTTTTATTCTTCTATGGACACCAGTAAGAAGGGTTTGCAGTAGCCCTAATTAAATAAATACAAAAGAAAATATTTGTTGTTTAATTTTGGAAAGTGACATGCCAGTCAAAGCACAAAGGATCTTCTTTTCTCTGTGGAAAAAACCGGGAACTGTTCTCTAAAATGTTAGTTAGAGAGTGTCAAAATAATCTTGCAGAAACTATGATTCCTAGAACCAAATATATTCCTGACTGATGGAAAATTCCAATTAAATACTGATGAAATAATGTTTAAATTAGAAGCATTTGAAATAAAAATAGTATCTTAGCAAAATAAATGACTGCCCAGAAGATGAATTGCAAATCAAGCTTATTATATTACTGCTTCTATAACAAAATGTGCTAATTGCCTCCTTACCAGTGATAGTCATCCCATTTGTTTTGTTTTTGACTGATTTAATGACAAACATACCCATTATACTGTCAACTGCTGCTCCAATGTCATGCTTCAAATGTAATAATTTTGTAAATGATATAATCTCAGAAGTCAGCTTTGCTTCAAAACATAACCTAGTTTGAATTAGTCAGGGATTTTGCCTAGTTCTGGCTCTAAAATAACCTTATTATTGTCACCATGGTAGGGTAGTGATAATTAAACAGTAAGTAATCCAAGATTCTTTTCTGTTAAAGAGGTCAATGTATACAGAGTTTCGACAAAAAAAAAAAAAAAAAACAAACAAAAAAAAACAAAACTCAAACACCAAAATGCAAAACAATCTGATTTGTTAATTCTCAATACAGCAATAAGAATCACAATTTACAGGTTAGAATTGCAATTATCAATGTTCAATATGTGTACAGACTGAAAGATTTCTATCTGAATGAGAATTTATTAAAATCATTCCGATAGGAAAACAAAGAAAATAATTATTTCTATATTACAAATTTTTTTTTAACTAGAAAACTTTGCAAAGTTTTAAAATGCTAAACAGAAAGAGAAAATAAGGATGAAGAGCCTCCAGACATCATACATACATACATACATACACTGTTGTCCTTATCCATAAAAATGTTGTTCCTACCAGAAGTCTGTCAAAGCTATACTTTACGTAGTATAAGGGCTTGTGTCTCATAATCAGTTGTATTCCTCTGGTGAAAGCTTTTCCTAAAACTGGATATTTACACTCTCTTTCACACATCTGAATTCTTGTGTCTTATAAATCCAGCCTCAGCCACTGTTTTAGTTGAGGTTTTAAAGTAATCTTTCTTATTTCATGCAAATTTTTATGAAATCTGTAGGAATTTGACTGAGGCCTCTACTTTGTTAAATTTGGTTTACTTTAGTCAAAGGGATCAAAAATTTTCTTCTGAAAATGCATGCTCTCCCTCTTGCTCTGTCTCACACACACAAAAAACGAGTTTAAAAGAATGTATGTACTAACTGAAGATGTTTTTTTGATTCACAGATACATTATGGATTACTCAAGTTCTTTATCTGACAGATGCACCAAGTTTATATTGTTATTTACAAAGTAAGCAAGTTTTTCAAGACAGGATTATCCTTTTGACCTGTTTGTACTGTCTAGCAGGAAAATACAGAAGCAAAGTCATCAAATGGCACTACACTGTAAATAATAGCGGGAAGCACCTTCTTATCCTCACTGTGCCTCTAATCCTATCCATGCAAGTACTGAATAATTAACAATTAATTTCTTTGGGGAAAAAAAAAAAAAAAAAAAAAAAGAGAGAGAGAGAGATAGCAAGCATAAAAAAATAAAGTGCATTTGGTTGGCATGTTTTCTTTAATCTCATTTAATGACTCAAAACTTCTATTCAAAATTAATTAAAAAAGGAGAGATAATCAAATGTTTGTGTAGAACAAAACTGTTATTTGGATGTAAGACACAACTGTGAGGTGTGAATCACATATCCACCACTTCTATGATCAATTCCATCAAATGATTCCTTCAGTCAAAAATGAAAGCTTTAGCACACACACAAAATGTTATGCAACGTTATGCCATTAGACATCTAAACTGTACAATAAAAATGTAAGAGTAATGCATTCCATACTGTTCCTGAACAGTACACTCAGAGAGTTAATTCAGATTATCTAGCTCAATAGCACTGAAAAGACTTGTGTCTCTGCACACAAATGTTAGGGATGCACTAAATGTTATAGACAGACATCAACTAAAATCTAATCAGTTTTCATTTTAATCTTGACATACTAGTGCTGGCAAGTTTATCAGATAGTGGTTGTTACTATTAGCAAACCAGTCAACGAAGTGTCAAAATCTGCCCTTGTCTCTTTCTTCAATACACAGGACAAGGACAGCAGATGAGTCCAATCAATTATCCTGATGAAGAATGTTCTATACCAAATTCAGAATGACAGTTACACAAAATGGTTTATCACAGAGCCAAATAAACCAACTATCATGTCAGTTATAACTAGAATTTCCAATAAATATGTTTGAGTGGAAGTATTAGTTCACTCAAGAGAGCATGAACAATACAAATGTTATTTCATTCAGTAATATTATTTCCAATTACAAGACAAAAAATTTTATCAACAAAGAAGTATTTGGCTCAGCATCTGAAATTTAAACCAGACATTGAATTAAAACAATAGAAAATTAGTTGATATTTAAAATGTGTTTTCTAACTGACTAAAGATTCTTCATTGTTTAACTGCTTTATAGCTTTTAACTTTCCCATCAGAATACATAAAACAAAAGAAAACTTTTAAACTGGTAATTTATAATTAGTAAACATTCATTCTCAGAAAGAGTAGATACATTCAATATCATATCTTCTAATTTGAAAGGCAACCTCAGAAAGTAATGTCATAAGGAATGGAAGGTTTTATAGCTATTACTGGACAGTGAGTGACTCTTCATGAAACACAAAATATCTTCTGTTTCTTGTTGAAAGAGTGGTCCAGTTTCTTCTTTCCACCACAGTGGGAATGAACAGCATTGATTTTCCAGGGTTATTATCCCAAAAGGAAGATTTTCTTTTTTTTTTTTTTTTTTTTTTTTTTTTTTTTATTATCAAAGACTGGGAACCAAGCTAGAAAAGTTAAACATCTGAGATTCATGTTCCACAGAACAAAGTAACAGCTTGCAGTAAAATGCAGTTAGCTCGGATTTCCTTTTCTTACCTTCGTTGTAAATTTTGCCTCAAGTTATGCTCAGTGAAACAGTAGAAATTTTACACCGCAACTTGAAGCAGCCTTCATTACTGAAGAATATACATATTACAGAAACTCAGCAGAAATGTTATACCACAACACGAAGCAGAGGAATATCCATATTACAGATTTAACAAACCCCCACAATGAGCGTTCTCATGATTCAAAAGGGTGATCAGGCACCTATGAAGATCTTATATAATACTTCTCCAGGTAAATCAAAGGGACATATAAGCCTTTGGGTTTGTGGGGGAGGGGCTATGCATTATCACTAAATGACTAAAGTGAGAGAAGACGCTATAATAAGCAGCCAAGCAAAATGGCAGATAAGAACCCTAAGAAAAATAAGAAATGGTTTGTAATGACCAGCAAGTTGAAGAATAGCATATATAGAAGGATAAGGGGAAAAGATGAATGACAGAAGAAAGCAGAGAAAAGTGAGCACCATGAAAATAGATAAACTAAAACACAGAAAGAAAAAAGTAATAAATATATAAAAGAAAAGGCTCTTAAAGTAATAAATGTATGAGGTTTTTTGCATAATGGTTTCAGAATATTATTTTGATTACTTTAAACACTCATCAAAATATAACTGAAGCTTTTCTTCAAAAAAACTACGGCAACCACACACAAACCCCTCCAGGGTAGCTAAACAAAGAAATTATGAGCTCTGTAATTATGACTGACTCAATAGGAAGAATTTATTGGTTAGAAAAATTAGAAAAATTTTGTCTGCAAAGTATTACTGAGATCTGGAAGAACCCAGTTTGAGCTCCAGATTCTAGGCTGAATAATGGTGCTAGCTGCTTCCCTTCTACTGCAACAAGAAAAATGTCATGGATTCACTGAGACAGAGTAAAAGTTAAATAGCATTAAAAGGAAACTATAAAGGTGATATTTAAAGTGTGGACAGGCTACAAGGGAGGAATATAGAAACAGTGCTCAGGCATGACAAAATGGTGTTCCAAAAGCAAAAACTCAGCCAGAATTGAAATTGGCAAGGCACATCAGTGGCATCATGGAGCAGTTTTATTGCTGCACTGGCTGTATTTAAAAAGGAGTAAGTGGGTCTGCTGTTGACCAGGGCAGGTGGTTTAGTGATGTCAAACACAGATAATGCTGAAGTACTCAGTGCTGTCTTTTTCTCTGTCTTAATCAACAAAGTGTAGACTTTGTGTGTACAGATAGGGTTCAGGGAGAAAAGAAACTACCAACAGATAGAATTTAAGATAAAATAGAGGTTACTGAAGAGAACTCAACACATAAAAATCCCTGGGACCCAATGAGATGCATCTGAGGGTGTTAAGACTGTTGGCTGATATCACTGCAAAGGTATTCTCTATCATCATTGAAAGGCCATAGAGATCAAGAGAGGCCACCACGACTGGAGAAGAACAAATGTTACACTCATTTTCAAAAAGGGCAAGAACTTTCTGTGCTCACGGCTCAGAAAGCCAACTGTATCCTGCGCTGCATGAAAAGAAGTGTGGCTAGCAGGTCAAGGGAGATAATCCTGCCACTCTACTCCACTCTGATGAGATCCCATCTGGAGTATTCTGTCCAGCTCTGGAGTCCTCAGCACAGCAAAAACACGGACCTGTTGGAGCAGGTCCAGAGGAGGACCACAAAAATGATCAGAGGGATGGAGCACCTCTCCTATGAGGAAAGGCTGAGAGAGCTGGGGTTGTTCAGCCTGGAGAAGGCTCTGGGAGACCTTATGTGGCGTTTGAATATTTAAAGGGGGTTTATAAGAAGGATGAGGAGAGGCTTTTTATTAGGGCCTCTTGTGATAGGACAAGGAGCAATGGTTTTAGACTAAAAGAGGGTAGATTTAAGCTAGATGTAAAAAATACATTTTTTACAATGAGGGTGATGAAACCCTGGAAGAGGTTGTCCAGAGAGGTGATAGATGCCCCATCCCTGGAAACATTCAAGGTCAGGTTGGATGGAGTTCTGAGCAACCCGATCTGCTTATTGCAGGGGAATTGGTCTAGATGTCTCTTCCAACCCAAACTTTTCCATGATTCTGATTCTATGATTCAATTCAGGGAGCTATAGGTTTGCCAGACTCACTTTTATCCCTGTGAAAATCATGCAAGAACTCTTGGAAACCATTTCTGGGCACATGAAGGAGACTGTGGATCTCTGTGCTTTGGGGTTTCTATGTTTTGACTAAAAAAAAAAAGCATTGAAAAACCTATTCTGAATTCAGGATTAACCTTGTTTTGAGCAGAAGGCTGATGTAGCTGCCCTCCTTAGTTCCTTTCCATCTGAACTGTTCCATAATTCTGTGACAGTAGAAGTCTGTGTTTAGAGACCTACTCTTAGAAGCTGATCAGAGAACAAAGTAGAAACGGCATCTCAGCTTGAGAGAGCATAATTATTAATTATAGCTTTAGCCCCAATAACATGGATAATGACACATGACGGAAAAGAATAATAACCAGACTCCATGCCTGCAGGAGATAAGGATCCACCATATTTGCAAGACTGCTTCAATGCATCCCTGATATCATTACCAATCATATCCAATTGAGGGAAAACCAGTGTACCTGTCTAAGGTTTCAGTCTTTCTCAGTAAAGACAGAGATATAACCTTCTCAGTAGCTACATCCTTGGGAGTTGTCTTCCTCTGTGAAATCTCTGTTATTAGATTACTTCTACATTTAAACTTTCTGCCATATGACACTCAAATATAGATATATCAAGTGCAAAGAGTATGATTCATGGAGAGCATTCTATTAAAACAAGTTACAGGTTTAAATAGTATGAAATGGAAGTATTATATCAAATTCTAGTAGCATATATTATTTCAATTTGTAAAATAAACTTTAAGCAAAAAGCTTGACTATATCAGCAATGCTGTAACAATTAACGTGACCTCCAAGTACGATTAGAACAATCATCCTGTAAAATGTGCTTTGAAATGCAATAGGTTTAATTAAACTACTTGCTCTTTATTGTAATTGTGAATCACAGTACTGAGTAGTTAAATGAAACTAAATTACATAACATTAAATTCTGAGATTTTATTTAGTCTTCAGAAATGCTGTCCTCAGTCTTCAGATTTTAATACTGATTTTTTTTTTAAAAAAAAAAATCAAATCAATCAATTATTACTGATTTAATTATAGTTAATTTCCTCTAAGAGAAATATCCTGGTCTGAACAGACCAGTTGCTAACAAAACATCATTTCTGGATTTTTTTATCTTTATAATCCAATATTTATATTCCTCTAATTAATTAAACAAAATTATTTTTGAACACTTAGTTAAACAACAACAACAACAAAAAAATCAGTCTGGCTTCCTAATAATGGTCATTCACATGTTTCAGTGGACAGTAAAAAGATTTAGTGCAGTTTATATTAGCTCATCTACTGTACAAAAATTGTATTTTGTTTGAAGCAATCTACATGTAGTTTTGGACCAGCCTGTTGCAACAAGGAGTATGACTGACAGATCTGGTAAGTAATGTAATATGCTATCACTAAGCAATATGCTGTGAATGCTTTATTAAAGGTTTCTTATATTATTACATTCAGAATGTTTAAAGATCTGAATTCCAAAAAATTAACATTTGGTACAAGTGCTTACAGAAGATATTATACAACATACATATATAATTGCTTACATTAGTTTTCTTTAAAATGTTCAATTTGCATAGTCAGACGAGTATTCAAAAATATAACGGCGTCACTGACAGAAGCACAATAAATAAGAGCTAGAAATCAAATACTTAAACTATGCATACCTTCTTCAATGGGTTCATACTTCAGAATAATTTCTAAGGCACTTGTTTCACAAGCTGTGGTTTCATATTTTTCTCTTCTGAGAAATTCAGTGAGCTCGGTGGCAGATAGAATTTTGCAGTCTGGAGAATATGCACAGAAAAGTTCTCGAAATTCAGATCTGTGTACAAGAGCTCGATAAATTGCCCTGAAATCTTCTATGTTAATCATCTGTGTCTTACGTTTGTCAAGCGTTTTCTGAAAAACAAAACAAAACAAAAAAACAGTCAATATCAAGATATTCAATGACACAAAGATACACAAAACCCACTCTATTATAACTGATCATGAGTGAGAATAATAGAGAAAATCTCAGGCAACAATGACTGCAATACATTATCAAATTATATTCTTCTATTTTTATCTGCAACTTTTAGATTTGACTTGCTGTGTTAGAAATTGATTGTAACTGCTTAAATGCTAATTATGTCACATGGTACATTTTAGTTTGTATAAAATATTTTTATATAACTCATACGCAATATTAAAACTCATTATCTAAAATCTCTAAAATGCTATGCAGTAAAATAAATCTGCAGCATAAAAATTATCAAGTGGAAAGTATATTTAATATAAGATCTCTCCAACAGCAGTTTAAACTGTATTGTAAATACTGTCAATTACATTTACATAGAACACACAGCAAATGGTAAACTAAGAAATGAAATAAGGATGACTAAATTATCATGAGATGCAAATGCAATGCATCAAATAAGAAACAGTATTAAAGTTTGAAGACAAGATACTTTATAATAACGTATGACATTGTGTTCTGTTCTTAACAAGCCAGAATGTTTAACTCAAATTATTCACACTTTCAGAATTCTTAAACTATAAGCTTGTTTTCGTAGACCTTACAAAATGTTAGCGCATTAATTAATCTCGGTGTTTTAGTATAAAAGCCACTAGAAAAATAAAAAGGGCAAAAGAATATGAGTATAACAATACTTTTTTTGCCATTTCTAGATTTTTCTCAGGCTTAACCATTTTATTCATCCTTTAAAATTTTCTACATGAAATATGTAATTGTGCATATGAAATATAGAAGTTTCTAACATTTCAGATTGTATTATTCTTAATATTTGCTGAATTAAGAGAAACTGGAAATTTACTGACAAAATTACTCACAAAAATCAGAAATAAATAGAAATCCATTGTGTCATTTATTATCACTGTAAACTGATCAAAATTCATAATTGTTAGCTCCTTAAACTGAGACTACAAAAAAGGTTAAATCTCAGCATCTAATAACATGGCACCTACTACAGTTAGTAGGGATTTCCCAAAAGTGTTCATAAATATGGAATGACTTACCTGAGCTCTGTTTGCTTTTTAATGAAGACTCTTGATCAATACTAAATTAGATTAGATTTGAAAAAACACCATAAAAACTAAAAGCTTAACGATACATTACCAGCTTCTTCCTATGCAGTACAGTCCCTACTAAGAGATGTCTGAATAAGTACAATAAAAACAATACCTTAAATATACAAAACAAGTACAAAAGTAAATTTCATGAGGAATTCTAGCCAAAAAATTTACTTAAGTATTTGCTTTGGGTTTGTGAAAGAGAATTGTAATGATCATCTTTAACAGAAATTACCAGCAAGAAAACAATTCAATGCAAATGCCAATAATACGCATTTCATTTCTTCTTGAGAAATCCCATATCTAAGGTTGATATCCTCAATCTAATTTTTAACATCTTTAAGAAAACTGCAACTTTACTCATCACTTAGAAAGAGAAAATACCAACTTATTCTGGAGCCAAAAAATCTATTGGGTCTCGAGAGTCATTCTCTTAGATATTAGGACAATGTGAAGCTGGGCAAACAATTACATTTTCTATCTCAGTTTTTGCTTGTTGAAATACAGGCAATAATATTACACAGGAGAACTTTTCAAAATAAAGTTATGAAAATAATGTTGATATTAAAAAAAGATTGTCATAAAATTTTTGTTAGTATATTTTTATTTTCATTGCTAATATCAAATCTTTGCTATTCAGGCAAAGAAGTATCTTGACAAAGACAGTCTTCAGAGGAATAATATAAAAATGTATTATTCCTTAAAAAACTTAATGTCCATAATCCTGATATTGCTCAAAGGAACATTACAGTAAAAAAATTCAAAGAGAATAGACAAGAAAAAAACCAGCTTATTCTTTAAAAACTGTTTTATATAAAATTTAGTCATGTATAACCACTCAATTAACAGTTGATGTATACTTACTGACAATGATGCCAGTAAGATTTCCTTCCAGACTGCCCTACTTGCATTTTTACATATTATACTGATGAAAATTTGAGCCTCAAAACTGAATATACTCAAATAACAAAGAATCTCTAACAGTACTGCTACAAATAACTAGATTAAACTACTCAGCATATTATATTGTTAAATATAACTAGATCAGACTTGTTCTATGGAGGTCACATCCTCAAATAATTACTCTCCACCCATAATTGATCATCTCTCTCAAATTTCTGTCATAAAGCCAAGTAGGTAGAAAATACAGGAAACAATGACGAAATTTCAAGTTCTCATGAGATCTTCAAGGTTGTGAATTCTCTCAGTGCAGTGCAAGTTCAAAAACAACAGGCAACCACTTCAAGAAGGGTTGAGTTCACACGGCCAGTTTTACCTTGACTTAACAAGACAGAGCACAATGAGAGAGGAACACAATAGAATGAGGAAATCTTAATGTCTTCCCTCTGCCTGCCTTCCTGTCAGCATGTGATCTAAAAGTTTCTGATTTGCCATAGTTAATTCTCTTCTGTTGAATATGAGCAGAATCAACCATCTGGTTACAAAATTCTCAAAGAAATTACATATATGTCTAGCCACTTGGCTTCATTCCCTTAAGAAAACAGCTTTACCAAACAGTTATTTTTAGTTAAAAAAAAAAAAAGGGGGGGGGGGGGGGGGGGGG